TCCTATCCTATCCTATCCTATCCTATCCCTTCCTATCCTATTCTATTCTATCCCATCCTATCCCATCCTATCCTATTCTATTCCATCCAATCCTCCAATCCCTGCTCAGCTCAGCTCAAGTAGGCAATCCCATGACCATCTTATCCTTCCATGTCCCATCTTATCCAGTTGCATTCATCCCATTCAATCTCATCTCATCTCTCCCCAGCTCATTCTATCCTACCTTATTTGATTCAATTTTATTCTATTCCATATCCTTTTGTATAACTTCTCAAATCTTACTCACTATCCCATCCCATATTTTTTATTTCATTCCATTCTGTTTTTCCCATTCTTCTCCTTCCTCTCCATCTGTCTTCTCTTTGCTCCATTTATTTCCCTGTTCTATTTATTCAATTTTTCCTATTTCATTTCATTTCAGTATATCCCAGAAGACCATCACATCTGTTGCTGTCAACCCAACGGGTGAATGGCTGACATTTGGTTGTGCAAACATTGGTCAGTTGCTGGTCTGGGAGTGGCAGAGTGAAACCTACATACTTAAACAACAAGGTCACTACTATGATATGAACATACTGGCATATTCTCCTGACGGCAACTATATTGCTACTGGTGGGGATGACGCAAAGGTAAATGTCTACCTTGACCCTCAATACCTTATGCTTGCTATTTATGGCTTGCTATAAGCAGCAACCTCTTATGGCTCTCTAGTACTGAGACTGACCCCTTATTTGTCCACCTTTATATTGGGCTGCATGTGGCATCGGCTCTCCCAGTTTTAGTTGTGAATGCTCACCTAACCTTTCCCCATTGTGTCTACCTTTCCACTAGCTTATTTTCTATTTTATTTTCTGTATTTTACTGCACACAGGTAAAATTGTGGAATACAATGACAGGATTCTGTTTTGTGACATTCCATGAGCATTCAGCTGCAGTAACTGGGGTGGTGTTCAACAGCAATGGTCAGGTTGTTCTTAGTTCCTCTCTGGATGGCACAGTCAGAGCATTTGATCTTAATAGGTAATGTTGGCTGTTATCTATTCATACATCCATACATCAACCCATTTATTGGCTTATCCATCCTTTCTTCCATCCATTCTTCCTTCCATCCATCCGTCCGTCCGTCCGTCCGTCCACCCAACCACCCACCTATCCACCCCATCAGCCATCTACCCATCCAGTTCATCCCATTTCTTGTTATTAACTTGTCGTTACGATGGAGAGTAGGTGCCTGGCAAAGCGGTAGGCGATGGCAACTAGCTGGCAAGAGGTAACCATGGCAACCAAGCCACGGGTCAACCTCGGCACCTGTCACACTGCTTACACAGTGG